CCCCGCAGGTGCAGCTGGGCCCTCACAAACCGGACGCGGGCGCCAAGCTGGACTTGTTTAGCAGACCCCCCGCCCCGGGTGTGTTCGCCGGATTCCACTACCCGCAGGACCTGGCCCGGCCCCTCCTCTCCGGCTCAGGTAAGGCAGCCTGGCTCGTGGGCGCGGGGGGCTCGGCCACCATGCAGGCCAGGGGGCGGCTGGGTGGAGGCGTCCTCACCTTTTTCCTCTGGCTGGTGCGGGCGCCAGAGGGCTCCGCCTGCTCGGGCAGCGTTCTTGTTTCTCCGGCCGTAGCTGGTGGGGTCTGGCAGCCTTGCCCTCCTCGAGCTTCTCCCCCCTGCGGAGACTCGACCCCCCCGCTGACCTGAGCCCCGCGTGGACTCTGGCCAGGATGCCCTCCTCTCTGGGGCGTCCTTCCCGCTGTCCCTCCCAGGAAGGGTCTGGCTTTTCTCTCGGAACCCGTGTGCTCGCCCCGCCCCCAACAGCCGCGTCAGGGTCCCTGGGACTACCCCAGGCTCGCAGTGCTCCCAGGACTCAGCACAAGTCACACTCCAGCCCTGGCTGTATGCGTTGCAGCCTCGGCCAGGAAGAGGGGGAGGGTGGAAATGGGCGGGTGCCTCCCGAGCACTGCCCCAGGGGTCCCAGGACACACTTCATTACCCAGCGAGGAGCCATGACAGCAGGGCGAGGTGCTGTCTCCCAGGGAAGCTCGTGGAGACCCAGCACCCAGGGTTCTTACTGGGGGCGGGTCCCGTAGGCAGCTCTGCCTGCATGGACCAAAACCCAGACTCCCAGAAGGAAAGCAGGTGCTCAGCACAGACCACCTTGTTTGCACAAGCAACCTGAGCGTCCGTGAGGCCTTCCTGTCAGAGGGAAGCGAGAAACCTGCTGGAACCCGAGTTCCCAGGCGCCGGCCGAGGGCAGCCGTGCAGCAGGCCTTTCCGAGGTCAGCGGCCTTGAGCCCTCGCTCCAGGGCTACCGCTGCTCCCTCCCCAGCTGTCAGGCCCTCAGAGGGCGCCACCTCCTCAGAGAGCCCTCGCGGACTGTTCCTCGGACACCTCCCCCCGCCCTCCTCCAAGCTCATGTACACTCACCCCCACCCGCTGCCCCTTGCACATGGACACGTGGTCCATGCGGGCAGCCCGTCGGCACACTGGCATGACGAGTGTGGATGGGGTCACGCTGGCTGGCTTGGTGAGCGTGGCGCCTCTTCCCAGCCCCGGCTCCACCGCCCTGATGGCCTCCAGACCCCAGCAAGGCGTCAGAGCCCCTCAGAAAGCAGAGGGCCTCCCATCTGGGCCAGAGCCCACAGGCTGTGGCCTGGGCCCCTCTGTGCTCCTCACCCACCCATGGCCCTGTCGATACACCATCCGCTTTAGCCCTGGGGCCAGCTGTCTTGCGAACTTTGACTTAAGGTCGCTTGGAGGTGAGGTCAAGTTTCTAGCTGGAAGCTCTCTGGGGACTTGAACCTGTGTGTGTCTGGGTGGAGGAGCCCACCTGTGACGCACACAGCGCACCACGGTTGGGGTCCCCACAGGTGGAGGGACACGAGGGGGGCGCCCACGTCACTGGTCTCGCCAGGCACTCACTTCTAGGCTACAGGGTGGAGCGCCCTAAGCAGCAGAGTTGGCCCTTGACTCAACAGGCCCCATCTCCAGACTGGGCCCACCGGCTTCGGTCCTGGGGGGCGTCGGGGGAGCCGGGGCTGTTGCCACCGTGACGCTTGTGGGCTGTGGCCTGCAGCCAGGGGACGCCACAGGACGAGCTGCGGCCTCTGGCAGCCGTGACTCGGGCCAGTGTCCGTTAGCACCCAGACCGCACCCACTGTTAGGTGACCGGGACTGTAGCTCTGGTCGGAAACTCCAGGGCCGCTGGCTTCGGGAGAGCCCCCTGAAGGCTCGATCGCAGGCCGTGTCTCTCTGCCCTTTTTCCTCTGGGGGCTCCACTGCTGTCAGCACCTGCCTCTCTGCTCCACCCCCTCGGGGTCCCCCAGGCTCCGGGGAGATGAAAGCCCACCTCCTACCTGGTCACGTGCCTGCAGTGGGAGGAACAGCCGCCCAGGGCGCACCCACCCTTGGAAGGAGCCGCAGTCGAGGCCCCGGGTGCGCTCCGGCCTCCATCAACCTGTCCCCCTCTCAGGTGCTGCCCATCCCACCACCAACCCGTTCGGACCCTCAGCCCATCCTGGCAGCTTCCTGCCCACTGGTCACTTGACGGGTAGGTGCCCCTTGAGGTCCGTGCGGTCTGGCTGGCCTGTGCTAACCTCAGGGCTGGGGGGATGCAGGTGGGTGGGGAGATGACCCCAAGAACCCGGGTACCCCTCCGATTGCAGAGGTGGCACCTGCCAGGTTTGGGAGCCGCGGGGTCGGGGGATGGTCCGGTGCACATGTGGAGACCCCTGAGCCCTCGTTACCCCCACAGACCCTTTCAGCAGATCAAGCACCTTCGGGGGCCTGGGGAGCCTGGGCAGCAACGCCTTCGGAGGCTTGGGCAGCCACGCGCTGAGTGAGTGACCGCGCCCCACCCCCTCCCCGCGCATGCGCCCTCACTTCGCGCACGGGCACGTGCATGTGTCCTCCGCGCACGCCTGCGCGGGGCGGGGCTGCCCTGACGCCGGGCGTACGGACCCCCTTTGCCGGCTCCTTGGGGCACGTGCGGGTCTGAGGTCGGGAATCTCCGTGTGTGTGCGCCTCCCTCGCAACCCGGCCTCACGCTCCCCCCGCCACCCACCCCCCAGCTCCCGGTGGCGGCCTCTTTGCCCCCAAGGAGGGCCCCACGCTGCACGGCCTGCCCAGCCCCCGCGAGGCCTGGAACCGGCTGCACCGGGCACCGCCCTCGTTTCCCACGCCACCCCCGTGGCCTAAGCCTGTAGACGCCGAGCGGGTCTCATCCCTGACCAACCACGACCGAGAGCTGGACAAGAGCAGGGAGGAGCGGTGAGTGGGGACCCTTCGCTCTCCCATCCTGCCGGCTTCCCGCCTCCGTATCCCCTAGGCAGCTCCGCTGAGCCGCGCATACCTGCCCGCGGGGCACGCTGAGCTCTGCCCTCAGTGTCCTTGGTTGGGAGGGTGTGAAGTCTGCATTCTCAGGGCCGGGAAAGATTAGGGGAAGGGGACCCCACACCCCGGACCCCACACCCCACACCCCACACCCAAGCACTCTCCATTCTGCCTGCACAGAGGACCCTTGCTGGTGCAGGATCTGGGCAGGCACCATCCAGAGCGGGGGTTCACTTCCTCCGAGGCCCTGGCGGGGACCGTGGGCTTGTGGGCCACAGCGGGGCCTCGAGGGAGCTCAGATCCGCGGGGCAGAGAATGCTGCTGCACGCTGCAGGGGGTTGCTGCTGAGCCACCAGGGGGCCCGAGTCTGGGAGGTACACCTGTGAGCAGGTGGATGGGGGCTGAGCTTGTGCGTGCCCCCCTGCCCCAGCCCCATGGGTTGCAGAGCTAGGCCAAGGCAGGGGAGGTGGTAGCCACGTTCTCAGGTCAGCGGCAGAGGCCGGGGCTTGAGTGTTGGCCCGCCACGTGGATGGGAGCAGAGGGCTCCCTGTCCGGCCCTTCCACCCAGGTCCTGTCCCCCCAATCGTAAATGTGGGGCATTTCACTCATGGGTAGTGCTGCATGCCAGGTAGTGGGTGCACAGCGTGGAGCTTGAGACAGAGCAAGGAGAGAGAGGAGACAACCTAGAATCAGCTTGGAAGACGGTGGGGATGTGTGTCGCAGGACCCAGGAAGGGTGCCAGGGAGCAGCCCAGGGCCTGCCCACCTCCTACAGCCACAGCACTGTCGCCACAGCGGGTCAGGAGCCCGGGGAGTTGCAGGTCCCCCATGGGGACCGCAGGGTCGAGCGGGTGGGGCCCGAGTAGAGTGATGGTGGCCAGGTGCAGCACTGAGGGTTGGTCAGGGGGCTGGGGGACCTGGGGACTGCCAAGGGGAAAAGGAGCCTCGGATCTGACCCACTCAAGCCCAGCTGCCCTCCCAGCCCCTCATCAAGGTGGGGGCCATGCCCACCGTGCTCCCAGCTCAGGGGCAAAGGACTAAAAAGTACAGGGTGGAAAAAAAAAAAAACAGGGTGGCACCTCGGGTGAGAACCAGACTGCAGTGGGGTGGGTGGAACTATGGTGACCGCAGCCAGGCCACACGCTCCGCATGAGGAAGGATTTGCAGGACCCTGTCCCTGCAGTGGGTCTGGGGCCTGGGTGGAACTGCCCTAAGTTCCTCACCGAAGGACTTGTTCTGGCCCAGGGGCTCAGCGGGCCTGGGTCCCCGTGGAGCGCTCTGCGATTCTGCTGCAAAGTCGGTCTCCATGGTGCTTGTGGAGGGGAGACAGGCGTGGGGTAACCCTCGTGGGGATGTGGGTTGTGGTCACCGCGTGTTGACGGGGTCCCACTAGCAGTGATTCCACGGGAGCCAGGAGTGCTAAGCGGACCCCACACGCGCGCACGCAAGGACCCTGAGGTCACTACGGTGGGCAGTGGCTTTGCGACGTTGAGGTGGGAGCTTGGTGTCAGGGGAGCTCGCTGCAGGGTGTCCCGCCAGGCTGAGGGGGGCTGTCTTGTCGCTCCCAGGGACCTCCTGGAGAAGACGCGCCTGCTGAGCCGGACCTCGCCCGTGGCCGCCGTGGGCCACCCGGGCAGTGGCCTCCTGCTCCGCGGCCAGGGTGAGCCGGGCCGGCCCGGGGTGCCTGCCGAGCGCGAGGCCGAGCCCCGCGTCAAGGAGAGCCGCTCCCCGGCCCGGGAGGACAGCGCCAAGCCCAGCAAGGCGGCCCTGGGGGACGGCCTGCGCCTGGCGGGCCTCCTGGGCCGTGAGCCGGCGAAGTCGCTCGAGGTGGCGGCCGAGCGGCCCCAGAGCGACGACGTGAAGGTCAAGGAGGAGCGCGGGGAGGACGGCGACGCGCCCCCGCAGCCCGGCCCGGGCCCC